TTTTTCTTAAACTTTGTGATTTAACCCAAAACATCTTATAATAAGAAATGGAAGAAGTATTAAATACTCCCTCTGTATCATTATAGATGATTTTCTAGAGATCTTTTTTGTATCAAATTAGTTGATTTTTTAAATTTTCAATGCAAAATTAAATACATTTTTATTTCATATTAATTTACTATTGGTTGAATTAAATTTAAATAAATGAAAAATAGTGTTTAAATTAAAAAAAAATAAAGAAATTAATGTTTTCTTAATTTGTGTGTAGAAACCTTAAAAATGATACAAAGAGGGAGTATTTATTTTTATTTTCATTTTCAAATGATTAGGGTTAGTCAAACAACCCTGATCCAAGAGACGGGCCTTTTTTTCTCTTCTTCTCCAAGTCTCAGAATCTACGATCGAAAAATCGAAGAATCTTACAGTGACCGAATATGGAAGACGATCAACAGATTCACTTTCGTTACTAGAACCCTTGATCTCAGTTTAACAACATGTACCTCAACTTTTCATTTCAATTGGCGATCAATTTCACTTTCTCCGATTCAGGTTTGCTCTCTCTCCATTGATCTTGATGAAGCTTCAGTTCTGGGTTGCATTTCGCATAGTTACGTTAAGCTTATATTGGCATCTGGGCTAGAGTAATTGACGAAAGTAATTCAAATCTCGTTTTCTGGATTTTTGTAAATATTTTTGATCTTTCATTATTAGGAAATGATTGTGGCATTGTCTATGTTGGTATTATTGTACTAATTTCTATTGCTCAACAATTTGTAATGAATCTCTGACGGCTTCTTAACAGATGTTATAAGAATTTTTAAACTGGATTCTTGATGTTTGATTCTTTTTCTCGGACTTAGTTAAAGATTTTGACAATCCTCCTCATATGCTATGTTTAAGGCCATCAAGCTTGGATGCTTTCGCAGTTGCGCGTGTCTGTTTCACAACCCAAGCATTTCACTTTTCGGTTTATTGGGCATAATCTACGCTTTGTAAGAGAAAGTAGATAGCTTTTTTCTGTGTGTATGGTGTCTAAGCTGATGTAAATTGGAGGTTATATGCTGTTCAGGATCAAAGCCAACAAAAAAAGACAGAGGCGGAGCAAAAGTTGAAGAAAAGAGCAAGATTCTTTCTAGTTGCTCAGTTTATCGCGGTTGTTCTTTACTTATCTCCGTGATGGGAAGAGTTAGTAAAGAACAATGGCGATAAACTGAGAAGCTAGAAAGAATCTGGAGTGTGTGAAAATGAGGATGACTAATACATGGAAAGCTTCTATCCGTGAATGGACCAGTAATTTTCTTGCCCAAACCATGTATATCTTTTTCCTTGACTTATTAGGAAGAAGAGAACAAACGACTCATCATAATGTGTTTGTGCTTGAACTCTTATTAGTTTAGAGGAGACAGATTTTGATATAAAGATTCAGACTATAAGACACATTATAACGAATTTCTTCCTGAAATGGTTACATCAAGACTAGTGGATCAGAATCTCTGGCATGTCCATAAAACCGGTTAACTGTTAACCCGTTTCTGTACCGATATCCAGGTTACCAGATCCCAAACTGGAACTGTAACTGAACTAACTCTATGTGTCTTAATAATACACATGTCTCCATCCATCTAAACTAACCTAAAATCCTAAACTTCTAACCAAAAGGAAGAATAGATAAATACATGAGAAAGCTGAGAATAGAAAATTTTACATCCCGGTTTGCTCCGGATGCTGCATTGGCTTGGCGTCCTCTGGATGGCTAACGAGCTTTGAGTGTTCATCAGCCGAGCTGATGGAAAATTCAGCGAGTGAGCTCACTGCAACCGACATTCCATGGCAGAGTACTTTAATTGCAACCTCAGCCAATTTCTCAGCGTTCATCATCTTCTCCTCTTCCATCTTGTCAGCTTCAACAATCTCCATGCTCTCCGTCCTCGAACCATTTCTTCCCTGATAGGGATTTTCTTCCCTAAGCTGACGAGCATAGATTGAACCCATTCCAGAGGCAAAGAAATCGAGTTTGTCTAGCACTGGCTTCTCATTCAACCCATTAAGCAACCTTGACCACTGGATGCAGACTTCGTATATCGGGTGAGGACAAGAAGATAAGGTGACTTTCTCTGGGTCAGGGTCACATCTGAAACATCTGAGTAACCAGCCGGTTAAAGACAGCATGTAGGATCTCTGGGACGTGATCCATGCTTGGAAGCAGGCTCTCCAGTTTCGAAGCTGAGCCACGAGATTCAAAGCTGATCGAGCTAATCTCTGAGAGTTGATCTCATGTAGTGAAGTCTGTTGTCTCTTCTTGTCACGTTTAATAGGCATGGTTGCAAGTAATAGCTTGGCTTCGTCCAGTGTTCGCTTCTGTATTTGGTGACACTCTGCCATCACTTTCCACATCCGACTTAATCTGTAAAATATCATTATCAGTGTTTTTTACGAGTCAAAGAGAAACCTGTGCTTTGAAAAACCAGAAGAAACATGTTTTGGCATACCCTTGAAGAAGCTCAAGAAGCTGCGGAAGCAGTTCTTGGTCGCGAAGAGTCTCAATCCTTTCGGAGATAGACTCGATGGAGTGTATGAAAACCTTTATCTGAGTGTGTAGATCTCTTATTGTAGCKCTTGWTTTATCAACCGCGGAAGAGTCGGCTCCTTTCACATCATGATTCCTCAGCAACAAACATTTCTTCTCATAGGCAATCCGTACCCGTTCTCCGGACTGTCATCACAGCATCCAAGTTGGTTAACCATGGAGGAGTAAACTGAAATTTATGTTAAAACTTAAAAGTCTCAGATATTACCTTAACTTCATCATAGAGTTTTTTCTCCCACGCGTATAGTCGGCCCAATGTTGATTGATGGCTACCTGAAAGCATACAAGAGTCTTCAGAAAAATCACTGCAGCTCTCAAATCTGCTCTCCCTAGAACCTCCAGAAGAGCTGATCAAGAATTTTGATGAGGAAGAAGATCTTGATGAGCCGCCTGAGCGGAACAAAGCTACTGGGTTCACCATTTTCATGGCTGCAATAGGAAGTTTCACAGATTCACAACCACATCCATTTTATATGAAGTCAGAAACAAAGAAGATTTTATTATCGTACCACTGAGCTCATTAGAGGCTGTGTATTGAGCTTGACTAGCTTCCAATAAACCCGATACTTCTTTAGCAGCGGTACATATTATCCCAAACTGATCTTCAAGATCTTTAATAACTTCTCCCATGCTCGTTGGCCTTCGATTCAAGTACACAGTGAAGCCATGTGTCTCTCCTTTTGCATCATCATCTGTTGTAACTACATGCCCTGAAATTCCTCCTCTGGACACCTCAACACTTTGCCGTTCTTGAGTTCCAATGCAGTTCATGTACCTCTCATTCTCAGTCTCGTATCTACTGTCTGTGGAGTCCTCATTTACATCTTCTACTTTATCTTCTTGATTTATTTTACCTCCATTACAATCTTCTGTTGCTTTCATGTTATGATCCTCAAACCTTGGAGATTCATCTTCTTCCAGATCAGGAATTCCTTCTTCCTCACGAACGCGCATGAACCGTCTCATCTCATCGTCCATACCATTCCTATTATCATAACTGTATCCGTAATTATCCAGTGAAGAGAATGGATTCCAAAAGAAATCCCAATGAGAGTTCTGTGGCGAAGGAGGCGGTATATTGTGACACACAGGCGAGTTCACCGGGTTCATGTTCATCCCGAAGAAACTATCTGCTCCATAAGTCTCAACCTGGAAAGTCTCAGGTGATCTAGGAGGCTTTTCTTCAACCCGAACGGGTCTGGTTCCACTAGCCATCAAGTAATTAACTTCCATTTTCGACTCTGACTTGTTCTCAATCATTCTGGAAGAAGGAGATGTCTCGATCAAGCGGCCTGAGCTGTTAATTCTCTTCACTGGAGTGACGAATGTGTCCAACGAGAACTCGTGTGGCTCGTCTCCTTCGATGTATTCACGAAGAGCATCTGAAACTCTCCTCAGAGACTGGATATAAGCAATGTGACAATAAGCAAACTGAGTCCTATGTTCCACTGCTTGTTTGATGAAACGTTTCCTGTCTTTACAGATCTGAACAGCTTCATCATCATCTAATTTCGAATGAGAACATCCCATTTCTCTCTCAAAATTTATTATTTTAGCTTCAATTTCAAAGCTCAAGACTGGTACAAAGTATAGGAGAAACTGCGGAACTAAGAACAAGATACATCAGTGTTAAATTAAACGCTTGAAACAGTTGAAAAAACAAAACATAGCATTGATTAACAGACAAAAAAAACGTTTCTCTATGTCTCACTCAGATTCTTTATTTATTTTGGCTTAGATTTGAAAGAAACAAAGAATTTTTGTGTCTTAAATTAGTGAGTTCTTGAGAGTTAAACAAGATATAGAAATGCTAAAGCCAACAAATTTCTTAAATAGTCTTCAAAGTCATGAGCTTTGAAAGTAAAAGTATGAAGAAAAATGAGTAGAAAAATCAAAAACCCTTTTACACATTTGTTTAGAAAAAGGAAATCTATGAACTGAGGGACCCAAATCCAAAAATTAAAAAAAGTTTTGATTTTTTGGA